ATATAGGGTACTTAGTGCAAGTTCTCGTTCCCTTTCTAATAGCAATAGATTTATCTGATAAATCACAAGAGAAAGATAGCTCACCAGTATCTTCTGAAACCAAAGAAGATTCTTGACTTGGAACAGACTGCATGATGGTTTTTTCAGACTTCTCTCTCCTTGAATACCTTTTCAAGTCTGGTTTATCTAAACATTCAACATTATTTTCTTGATTAAGACTTTTTATAATAGGATTCTCCTCCAAAACATGATTCTCAATCGTTACCGAATTAGGTATCACTTCTTCCTTCTCACTCTCCCCTTGAAGAGGTGTTGGATTTGAGTTGAAGTAAGACTCATTCTCCCAAAAAGTAACATACATAGTTACAAATTATTTTTTAGATGGTCGATGATAACACTTATAGCTTTTTTGGATAGAAAAATATTCAACAAATACACACTTAAGAGCTCTAGGTTTTAGTTTACCCACATTTCTAACATGAACAAAGTACATACATCCAAACACTTTTGGGGGAACAATGTAGCAATTTTTTCCTTGTAAAACCTCCATAGAATTTTTAAAATTCACGACCCGCAAATGCATTCTATTGATAAGATAGACAGCTGAGAGAACTGCATCTCCCCAGTAACGTTTTGGTAGATTCATGATAAACATTAGTGATCAAGCTATCTCTAGTATGTGTCTATTTTTTCTTTCAGCAACCCTATTTTGTTCACTGGTATAGACACAATTTATCTGATGAATTATCTCATTTGACTCCAAGTAGACACGGAACCCACTATCCATATACTCTGTACCATTGTCAGTTCGGAAAATCTTAACTTTAACACCAAACTATGTACATATTATTTTGTGCAAAGATTGAAAACATGAAAATACATCACCTTTTGCTTTTAACAGATAAATCCATGTTAATCTAATATAACAGTCAATAAATTAACAAACCATCTATGATCAGAAAGAGAGGTATTCTGAGTAGGTCCCCACACATCAGAGTGAATAGTCATAAAAGGATCCGTACTTCTATTATTACTTAAATGATAAGAGCTCCTCTTATGTTTAGCAAATTCGCATGCATCACAAAACAAATACTTTATAAAAGTTCTTTTAAATAATTTAAGATATAATTTTTTTAAAACAGAAAAGGAAGGGTATCTCAATCGTCGGTGCCATTATAGTATCTGCATATTAACTTCTTTATTCACAATGGTTGCTTGATTTCCAATTAAGTTCAAATGTCGATACAAGACATATAAGTCATCTTGCAGTCTATCAGTGTCAATCCTCTTCCCGATTTGAAGATCCTGAAAGATGCAATGATTAAGATAAAATTCAATTTTACAGTTGAGATCTCTAGTTATGGCACTAATAGATAAAAGATTGTCAGAAAAACTAGACACATGTAAAACTGAAGACAGTATAATAGTAGTAGTACAATTAATGAACCTGTTCCCGACACGGGGAAGTATGACTCATCTGCTATACGGACATTATCCCCTTCAGTACAAGAAGAATAGATTAAGAATTCTTTAGAAGAGTATGTCATGTGTATGTTAGCTCCAGAGTCTATGATCCAATTATCAGGAGTAGAGATAGGATGAACAATACTTGATTTTACCATATTTGATGTGCCAACAGTTGATAGAAAATTAAATTAACTCAGAAGACGCTTCAGATTCTGAATTTTTTCTGTGGAAAATGCTCCAACGGATGGTGAGTCAAGTTTTCCCTAACCTCAACAAAATTTGCTTGAACTCTTGTGGTTCCACCTCTTCTTTCTCCCTGACCTCTAATTGGTCTTCCATGTAACTTGCAACAAGTTTCTTTAGTGTGTCTTACCTTGGCACGATAGTCACACTTTCATATATCTCTGAATTGATCAGACTGAGCAACTAATCTAGTCTTCTTAACTGGTGCAATGTGAATCATGGTATTTCTTATACTTTTTTCTTACTGAATATAAGTATAAGTTTGTTCTAATTAAGGAAAAAGATCTTTACCAAGCACTTGGACCCGTATTTGATCATACTGGGTGTTCAGACCAGCTAAAAAATTATAAATTCACTTTTTTTCTATCAATTTCTGAAATTTGACTGCATCTGAAGGGCACTCTACTTGAAAATCTTGATAATAATCTGACTCATGCCATAATACATTTAGTTCAAAAAAATATTGAGAAATAGTCATATCTCCTTACTTTCTGCCATAAACTTTATTTCGGAGTTTATAAATCTGAGCATCATTACCCATCTGTGAATATGTAAGAGATATTGCACTCCATATTTTTTCGGCAGTATTAAACAACAAATATGTTCTGACAATATGGGGTTGCATGAAATTTAAGAGTCATGACATTACCAATGCACACTCAGAGTCCCATCTATTATATTCTAAACTATCAACATCTGTTTTCTTCACCTCACCAATAATGTAACCTTGCAATTTTCTATATTTGATAAACAATAAATAATATATCGACCAAACAAGATAATTAATTCCATCAAGTTTTACGGGACTAATTTGTAATGAAAGATTATCAAAACTAATAACACTCACTTTTTTTACTTCTGTCATCTTAAAATGCTAAAAATAAGAATAAAAAATACTCCGTAATGGCAAAAAAAATCGAAACCAGATTTGATTCGGCTTTAAACGGCTCGGGTTTAGTTTTAAAACAGCTTGACTCGTCTTCTCCGAACAGATCTCTGAATGTGCGCATAAAGAAGTAATGGTGTGGCCTTTTTTATCGGCATCTGTTGATGTGCGGCTGTAATCTTTTATCAACATCTGTGGATGTGCGGCTTTAATTTTTTACCAACATCTCCGGATGTGCGGCTGTACCTTTTTACTGGCGTTTGGAATGTGCGGCACTTTTTCCGGCGCGTGAGGATGTGTGATTACAATTTTTCTTACGGTTGTGCGGTTGTATATTTTTACTAGCGCTTTTGGAGGTGCAGCTGCATTTTTTTTACCGACGCATGTGGATGTACGGTTTCAGTTTTTACTAGCGCCTACGAATGTGGGGCTTTAGTTTTTACCGACGCTTGCAAATGTGCGACTGTTGCTTTTTACCGACGCTCTAATACCATGAAATTTTTAGAGAAAAATAAATTATAAGTTTTATTACTTCGATTTTGTTTACATTTAGAAAATATATAAAAACTAGTTATCCTTATTCTATTTATACTCTAATTATAAGATACAATTATACTATTAGAACTCTAAATTATATAGTATTGTACTTAGCATGAAATCCTTATCAACAATAATCCTCTTGTTTTTTATGAGAATTTAGGGAACCTTATTGACATCTTGAGCAAATATGTCATTCTAGCTTTTGTACATGGCCCCTAATACCTTCTTTATAAATTTTCTTTTCTTTCAAATTTTTGGAAAGAGAATTTTCGCAACATGTTGCATGAAGTGCTGCCTTGACCAATGTCACTTTTTTTCCAATCTTCTTAAAATCAAATTGTTTTAGATGGAGTCTCATCTCTTTTTTATTCAAGACCACGTGGATTCAACATCCCAACCTTCTCAATTAGGTGAAAGAGAGGTAAGGTAATTTTTCTGAGGTTTGAAAAGAGCTCAAATTCTTGAGGAGACTACTTTATTAAGGATAATTGAATGTCTGGAATAAGGAAATGTTTCAGGACTTAAGGATAAAGAAATAAGGTCTCCTTAAATGATTGGGAATTAGATGAGTACAGGCAACTTTTTAAACCTAATGGCTTGTATTATTATTCTAGACAGACCTAACACTTTGATCTGGAAGGGGCAAAAAAATGGCAATTTCAGTATCCAGTCTTTCTACAATATTCTCTCCAACCTAGTAACCAGTGCAACACTGATAATTCTCCTTACCCCTTCAAATCTATCTGGAAAACCAGCGCTCCTCCCAGAATTGCCTCTTTTGCTTGGGAAACCAGTAAAGAGAAGATTCTGACTTTAGATAATTGGATGAAACAAGGAAAAATTATGGTTAACAGGTGCTTCCTTTGCAAGTGTGAAGCCAAAAGCTGCAATCACATTCTTCTATGGTATCCTTTTGTTTCTAAACTTTGGTCCATGGTCTTTAATTTAATTGGTATTAATTGGGTAATGGTTGGATCCGTTCACGATGAACTCTTGGTTTAGGATGGCTTAAATTCGAGCAATCACGTCAATCACCTTATTCCCCTTACTATATTTTGGATTATTTGAAAAGAAAGAAACAATAGAGTTTTTGATGATAACGAAGATACTTTTGTAAATATTAAGAATAGATGATTATACTATTTTGACTCCATTCTTTTGAGTCGTAACTTACTATCTTTTGATAATATTGGAGTTGTTATCGAGATTCTCTTAAATATGTAATACTCTGTACATGGGCGGTACCCCCTTGGTGCCCTTTTTGAATACATATACTAACTTTTATCTTAAAAAAGATCTCCTTAATCCAAGAAAATCTTGGAGAGGCTGCACTCCAAGAATGGTTTGACAAAAGAAGAAGCTAGGTTGTGGTAAAATGAGAACAATAAGAGGTTGTGAATATTTGAAAAAATAAATAAATAAGAGCTTGTGACGGGTAAAATATAAAAAAGGAGAATCAAAAACAAAATGGCTTCATAGATAGAGTTTTTAGTTCAATGAATAAGCTTTTAGTGCATGGAGAAGAGACTTTTAGATTTCTTGGAACTATTGTCTTGTAGTTATTGTTTCTGTCCTTCCAATTCATGGGTGTATTTTGTACCTTGACTCAAAATCTACTAATTTATCAATTAAAAAGAGGAAAAAATAAGGGCAAACTATCCAGGAAGAAGGAAACATGGACTAAGCACTGGTGAATCATGGGGTTTCACAATATTTGATAAATACAAAGGAAGGATTGTTGCAACAACCAACTATTCTGATATGTGTGCTGTCAACTCCTTCTTCATACTTGTTGGAGTTACTTCACTTCAACAAAATCATCATAACAATATTGACAAGTCTTGAATAATAGTTGAAAATGTACCTCGAATAATCCCGCAATAGGTGAAGGAAAATTTCCACTTCTAGGTCTTCAGTGGACAATTTGCTTGAGCAAGCAACATTTAATTTTTTCCTCACCGCAAGCAGTACATTTCTATATGCAGGCCTCCAACCCCTACCCAAGAAACAAATAAAAGTAATCACACATCAGCCACAAGGGACCTTCACTGATTGCAGAAACAATGAAATATATAACCAATTTCCAAAGGTAAGATCAACAAAAAAAGACGGCTCTTTTTTCCTGTGTGCAGTAAAACTGAAAATCGTCCAAAGATGGTAACGGATTGTAGATTCATTCAGGGAAGCTGTAACGAAAATTTAGCCAATTGAATACAAACCTTAGTGTAGCCCGGGCGTCAGCGGCAAGGAACAAAAATCGGGATTCTAGAGCTGCTATAAAACTTTCTCGCTCCTCAATGTCTTCTTCGATCATAAGATGGTCCAAATCTGCTGTTTGCGTGATTGATTTTAGCAATGGACTGAAATAGCTGAACATTTAACCAAAAAATTTCCAACAGCGTTAAAAAGGAGCAATGCATCAACCACATAAACGAAAAACTACAGGAAATGTTTCATTTGTCCAGTTTTATTTTACCGGAGACCAAACAAGGAGTGATGCAGGGAAGGATCAAAACACAAATAAACAAGAATTAGAAACGAGAATATCACCTGGGGCCAAAAAGGATTCGTTCAAGCTCATACAATTCAGAGTCGGTGGCAAGTTCTAGCACATATCGAAGCTCGGGATCGTATGTATCTGAAAAGGAAAATCAAATTCAAAGAAATGAATGGAATTCTACATAAAATCCAAAATGAGAGTGTAGGTGCAAGGAGAGTTACCCTGGACAGGTCTTGAAATTGAAGCATGAGCAGGGGAGACAAGTCTGAAGCCCTTTCTTTGCCTAGGCGAGCTAAGAAGCTGAGAAAAGAAAATTCAAGAAAGAGAGAAAAGAAGGGTTCAGCGACTGCAAGTGAAATGACAAATATGTGGAGAATAATGATAGAGAGAGAGAGAGAGAGAAAGAAGGAGATTACAGGGAAACTGGGAGTGGCGGAGATGGAAGAAGGGAAGTAAAGGCGGAGAAGCAAGGGGTGGGAAGAGGAGAAAGCAGCGGCGCTCATGTCTCAACTTGCTCACTTCGCAGTACAATTTTGCTTAGGCAGAGTTTGGGCTTGGGAGTGGATGTAACCCCGGGCGTATATCAAACGGTAAATTGAATTATTTAGTAGTTTAAAATATTTTAATTAATTTTTGTATTATTTTTTATATTTAAAAATAATAATTTAATATTTTATGTTTAATGCACACTAATAATGTTAGTAAAAATATCATGTAGAT